GGGCGGGGGGGGGGGGCTCCGTGTGATGGAGATGGAAAGGCGGCGTAACGAGGGGCTGTCGTGGGACTAGCGGCGCAATTGTGTGACGAATTGGAAGGGGAGGGGTTGAACCTGTTGCTGGACCAGCGAGAGAATTTTGTGACGAATGAGGGTGTTGGTATCTGCAGATTATTAACCCTTCTGGTCTGCTTCCGTGCCTCCTCTTTCTCGCCCTTCGAGTGCAAAGACTCGATTTTGCGGTGATCACAGACTCCCTCGCCCTCAACTATGGCACAACCATCAGTAGAAAAAACAACAGAGATGACCTGGTAAATTACGTAGGAACTGGGGGTCATTTTTGCCCCAAGGCGATCTATCTAGGAACTGGGGGTCTGTCTCGCACCCCCCGCTCTCATCCCGACAACAGGAGTGCATTCCGACAACAGCCGTTGGTCCTGTTGTAGGCAACTTCGAACGGCACAGCCTCCCACGAAGCGTGTTTACATTGGTGGCTAGCCCGTGTACCGCTGCTTTCCACCGGTGCTGCTCCGAATCCGGGGACTGGACCCCGTCGTCCAACCACCCCGCACCACGGGAGCCCGCTGTACATGTTTACCCATAGGATATGAAGCACCAGGCTGGCATATTTGCACTGGCCAGTCAGCCGGCTGGCGCGGTTGATACTGAAAATCATTTACGGCAAATGCGCTGATCAACCGCGGCCAACGCAACCGTTGTTTCCGCTATAAATGCCATCCCAGGATCATGGAGTGGATGACCCGGAGGACGAAAGACTTCCCCGACGTGGAGGTGACCAACTTCACGACCTCTCTCGCCGACGGTCGGGTCTTGTTGGCTATCTTGAACGACTACGACCCGTCTCAGAGCCCGTACAAGCCTTCCAGCAGCCCGGCGGATAACCTCAGGAGGTGGGTGGTGGTGGTGGTGTTGTTGTAGTTGTTGCCTTTGTTGCTGGTTGTTTACACCTGAAAAATGGGGATGCTCTGGCCTTCCGCCACCCGATACCTGAAAGTCTCAGCTGTCTACCCCCCTGCCTCAAGACGGTTGGCCTAGAGCAGTCACAGGTTACAAGTAGCGATTTGTGTATATGTATGATTGCTGAGGTTGGGGTCAGCGTTCACATTCCGTGTATTCTGGCGCCCGATGTCGACGATAAGCGCATACTGGTATATACCATCACCTTTTCCCCCCATGTGTCATTTACCGGGGCTATTGTCGTTGTAGCATTCGCGTATTTCTCTCACTCTCTTTTTCAGGTTTCATGACCAGGGCTGACAGTAACAGGCGGTATTTTCTCCCGTTCTTTTTTTCCATGTGTCATTACAGAACCGGGGCCATACCAGGCATTTTCTCCTATTTTGTCATTTGTCGTTCAGTATCAGTTGGTATTTTCTCCTGCGCGTTGTCCCATGTGTCATTACCAGGGCTACCAGTACTCATCAACATCTCCTTCTTATTCAGGTGCCATATTCAGAAGTTTCTCTCTTTCTTTTTTTGTTTTTTTCGTGCGGAATTCGTTACCAGGGCGTTCGAGGATTTCCAACGCCTGTATGGCGTCGGCTCTATCCTAGACCCTGACGACCCCCAGTGCTGCGAAGACGAGAAGGCCAACATCACGTACCTCGCCGAGCTCATGAAGGCCATGCCAGAGTACGAGGACGACGATGGGGAGGGTGGGGGCCGGAGAGGGCGGAAGGGGGTTCGGGAAGCGGCGGCTGTCGTGACCACCCGTCAGGTGAATTGGGTCGAAAGGGCTGCCAACACGAAAAAATTTGGTTTTATCTGTGAGATGAGATAATCGAAGTTACGTAGACGGTATATAGCCCCCGAAATTCCGCCGATGCCATAGTGTATCCCATGTGTTTGGTTATTTAGAACCTGCGGAGGCTACTGGATTGGATTACAACCCCCCGCTGCTGATTTACTTATTGTTTTGTGTGTATCATACATAGATTTGCGTTTGATTTTTTCTACGGTACAGCAGTAGGGGGTACGGGTTGGCGAACCCCCTATCTTAGCGACGTGCCCTGGATGGCGACCACAACACCGTGTGGCGCCACTGCATCCCGACTAACGACCGCTATTCTGCTTGTAGCTTGTGTGGAAGAAGGATTTTTTTTTGCGCGCCTGAGAGTCTCGAATCCGCAATCTAGAGATCCAGAAGGTGACAAGGGTGCTTCCAGTTGAAACATCGGGGCGACCCGACCGCTACACAAGGTACCCCCCCCCCCCCCCTCAGCCATGTGCTAACCAATGTGAAGGGTGGTGCAAGCTGGCCCCGGGCACTATGCCGAGCATGTTGGGATTCTCGCCGGCATTAAGTGCTGTGGCGGGTACCTGCCAGGAGGCACGAACTCCTCCCACACCACCGAACGATATGGTTTGTTTCGTGTGTTTTTCCACGGCTTGTTGTGTGCTGGTACAAATCAGGCGGCTGCCAAGCGTTGTGCGTTGCATTTTTTTCCCGTCACTTGATATGTACTGGTACGAATCAGGCGGCTGTCAAGCGTCGTGCCTTTCATTTTTTTTCCCGTCACTTGGTTTGTGGTACAATCTAGGCAGCTAGCTGTCAAGCGTTGTGCGTTGCGATTTTTTCTCCCGTCACTTGATGTGTACTGGTACGAATCAGGCTGCTGTCAAGCGTTGTGCGGTTCAAAAACACAAATCCACCACTTGGTAGTCTGTGTTGAAGTACGAATTAGGCGGCTACGTTGTGTGTTTCATGTTTTTTCTCGTCGCCTTGTACTTCTGTATGTGGTACCGGTACCCATCAGGCGGCTATCAAGATTTCGGAAGACTCCTTCCCCGAGACTGTGGTCGGTCGTCTGAGGGAGCTGTGCGCCTTCGGGCCTGGCGACGGGGCGGCTTGTGCGTCGAGGGTGGCGAAGATGATGAGGGATGCTGGGCTCGGCGACGTGAAGGCAAGCAAGCGTGGCAGGCGATGGGGGGGTGTTCGGGCGTCAGATACACTGGTGTTATTGTTGTTGGTGGTGGTCGTTGTTGGACCGCCTTGGCGCGATTAATAAGTTTATGAGGAAATAGAACAGGGAGGGGAGACGCAGACCCTATTCCTTATCCCTAACCCTGACCCACCCTCCCCGATCGTGTGCTTTATCCTGCATGTTTACATAATACGAAAACCCCTCCGAAGGCTACTGTCGGTTGTTGTTGTTGCTGTTGCTGC